GAATGGGCTCAATGGATGTTCCTTCGACCGGTTCAGTGAGTGACTTTTTGAAGGACGCCTACGAAATAGGTGAGGATGGCAAGGTGAGTCCATGCTGACGAGCAGGTAGGTTGTGTTTATTGTTTTGTGCAGTTGGTTTGAACATGGCCATTGATTGACGAGTGTTATTATGGTTGTTGTTTATTGCGTAGGTACATTTCAAGGTACGATTCGATGCACAAGGTTTCGCTCCTCAGGACATCAATGTGACGTCGAGTGAGAACCGTGTGACGGTACACGCGAAGAAGGAGACGACGACCGATGGTGGGAAGTGTAGTCGGGAGTTCTGTCGTATGGTGCAGCTGCCGAAGAGTATTGATGATAGTCAACTGAAATGTCGCATGACAGATGTAAGTTGTTGAGTTGACGACTGTGGTTGGTGGTGGTGGTTTTGTGTGTGTTGTATTTGCAGTTGTTTGCATTCCGAATCATGTTAGAATAATTGGAAGTCTCGTTTCATCTTGTTCTGTGTGTTTGTTTGTCTGTCCGTTTCAGGATGGTGTTTTGATGTTGGAGGCTCCAGTGAAGGTTGATCAGAACCAGTCGTTGACGCTGAACGAGTCTGGTCAGGTGGGTGTTCGACCGAAATCGGACAATCAGATTAAGGCAGTTCCTGCGTCACAAGCACTTGTTGCAAAAGGTGAGAGGAGTTGTGATTGATCTGGTTGGTGTGTTATTCTCGTTTGTGTGTGTTGCATTTTCCTAACATTGTATTTTTTTCCTATCCATTTCAGGTGTTCATGGTCTATCGTATGTGGATGATGGTTCAGGTGGCAAGCGATTGCATGTTGAGGTTCCAGTGGACCCAGTGTACAAGCCTGAAGACTTGTGTGTGAATGTTGATTCGAATCGTGTTGTGGTTAGTGGACGTCATCATAAGCAGAAGAGTGGTCAATATGGAAAGTCAAGTTCATTTGCAGAGTTCAGTCAGTCGTATGCGATTCCCGAGACAGTTGATCCGTTATCTGTTTCTGCTCAGGTAGTTGGCAATACATTGGTATTGGAGGCGCCATTGGAGAAGCAACATGCAATTACTCACTAGAAGAGAATATGTTTTACTAAACTAATCGTTGCTTAATGTTAAAATATTGATGTGATTTTTCTGAATAAATGTTTTTGAATTGCATTCGATCCCATGTTATTTATTTCGTGATCAGCGTATTCAGTTGACTTGTTGAACGTTTGCTTTCTGGTGTGCGGTTGGTAAGACGATAGTTTGGTTTTGATGTACATGTTCCTGCGTTCAGATTCTGTGAAATTGATTTTTCATTGGGATTTTCGTGACTCCATGCTTGTTAATGTTGTGAATGGAGCGTGGACGTGGAGTAATAGAAAACGGTTGATGAGTGTGTACGGTATCACTTCACGACTAAATATTACCATTGCTCTTTGAGTAGACTTCTCACTAGGACTATTCGTAAGTACCACTTCTTCCCATTTGTAATGAATCAATAATTACTGAAGCGTAATACGAATTTAGAAATGGGCCTCATTAATAAACGCGAATACGTTGGCACGATCTATAAAATCCAGGCCAAAGATCCCAAATGGGTTTATTGTATGATAGCTTATGTAATCAAGCAGGATTGTTTTTCGATTTTCAACCTATATCAACATCAATCTCATTAACTTTCGAGACAACTCACATCTTGCTTCTGGTTGTGACTCGTACTAACGGCCTATTAATTTTTGTCAGTTTGAAATTTGTACGGAATGTATGGATATTTATCCCTTCTTATTTATATGGGAAGTTGTGTCACTTGGATTTTCCTAATAACAACTTATCTACGGTTAATTTTGCCTTATATAACCAGTGATTTATTCACTTGGATTCACCATTAGTTGAATTCATGTGTCTTGAGAATGGTCAAATCAAATTCAACGTTTTTAATTTTTTAATGTGTATTCTAATTAGGTTTGTTGTTTTGGTTATCTTTATTTAACTCTATGGTACTTTTTAGTGTTAAAACCTCAATCTACTTCAACTCACCTTATAGAACAATGTGGTATGTCAACTGAAGATATAATGTGCATTTATTCATCTGGATTTTAAAAGGTTATAGTGCAGAATGCTTTTCGCTCATTGGGGTTCCCAACTTTTATTCACTTACCATACTAGTCATACAGATCGTGGGTTTCTATGAGTTTCAAATTTTTATTTACAATAAATAGCCTGTAAGTCAATCTTTCTCATATTCTGTCGAGTCATCTAAGGTAGACTTTACTAAACTATGCAATACTATCAGTTTAAACAACTTTCTTCAAGTCTACCATATTAAATTGCATTCATTGCTATTTACGGAAATTCATTTGGATCTTCAGGGAATCTGTACAATTTCATGTTTACCTGGATTAACGTGTCTAGTCATCAAGTTATTTTCGATATATGATCAATAGATGATTACTTTGTCTAGACTTATCCAATCTTAAACTCGAAACACGTGTTTATGTCTTGTGCTCACACAGAAATATACTTCTTTCTGTTACTGACCGTCTTTTTCTATATCGAGAATGTTAGATTCTCGTAGGCCTTTCATTTCAAGATATTTAAGCTTGAATAATCATCTTTTACATCCAAATAAAATCATGATGGTGTAATGAACTGCGATCACGTTATATTTAAAGCGCAATAATCCAACATGATTTAGATATGTTCGAATTTGTGTCCGTGAGTATAAAGGCAAATAAACGAATTTTATGTTAATATGATTGACAGTTTGTTTGGTACATAACAATATGCACAAAAGATTGTTTTAAGTTGAACTCTTTGTTGATTGGATTTGAAAGGAATTGAACAACCTCATTCGTTCGCTTTTGTTTGCGCATAAATCCCAGTAAATTGTACCTGGATATTCTTATATTGTACCCAATCTCAAAACTACGTTAGTTCACTCTACGCCCATTGGTTACCTCCATCTGTAAACGATTTAAGAAAATGATAAATATACAAATTATTTGTGTGTGATCTTCGTGCGCTGTTTAGAAAGGATGGTGGTATTTTTCCTCACTGAGTAAATTCTATTGTTTTGATCGTTTATTACGTAACAAGACCACTGTTTACACTTCAATTGAATTTATTTCACTTAAAGTATCCGCTTAAAGTATCGTTTCTGATTCCAAAGTAGTTTATCGTCGATACTTCTGAGTACTTTGTTTCTATTGTATTTGTTAGCAGTTTTGGTCCAAACAATTTACAGTTTTCCACCCTTTTGGTCATAAATTACTTTTGTCTCTGGGTATTATTGTATCTAGTTTGCTTTTGAAACCTCCGTTTGATAGCTGGACAGTGCAAGAAGATTAATTGCCAACGCCCTGGCTGTCGATACCCCGTTGTACACGGCTTGCGGTGCGACGAGTGCAAATGCTGATGTAACGTAGTTTGCACGAATCTAACGCGCGAGGCTTTCAAATGGTTTAGTAAAAATTGTTGCGTGTGGTTTTTTCTGTAGCGCTGCTCGGATGCAAACAGCTTGCTAGCCAAGGCCATTTCAATGGTGAATGCCGCTAAAAAGTGTATTAGAACACGAGGTCGGGACACAAAGAAAATTACTCGCTCAGTCAACACACAAATCGATGCGCAGCCACCTCAAGCGAGCTCGGTGACAGCTGATTGTCATCGGTCAAACGAGGAAAGACTGAATTCAAAGAGGTATGTCCCAAATAAAACCCATGAAAGGAAGTTCCATGTGTCTCCCGTCCTTAAATGGTGACTGGTAGGAAACGCCTAGGAGGCGCAATCGTAAGGTCCGATCGGTTTCTAGCGGAAAGCACAACCTGACTGCCTAAGTCGTCGATAACCTTCCGGAATCCCACTGTGCGTTTGAAGCGACTTTGTTTGCTACTCGAACGAAAGTTGATGAATGGGTACAGGTTGAGAAGAAAAAACTTAATGACGCTGTCAGAGAACAGCAACTAAGCTGATTCCCGGAATAGCGACGCTCCTGTGTGATGCTCGACTGGCTAAACTAAACATATTTCCTTTGTCATACCGAAGAACTAGATGTGACCTGATTACAGTTTTCAAATTACTTAGTGATAAATTTGCACCTGATATGTCCTTATTTTTTGTCTTCCAAAAGAGAAAATTTACGAGGACACTCCAAAGAAATTCACGAGTCCAGAACAAATCACTTGTCAGCTGACTATCGACTTTCCCATCGAATCATCAACTAGTGGAATTCATGTGATTGAAGCTCCATCTGTCAACTCTTTCAAAAGAAAGTTGGATGAACTGAGAGACTATCATTGAGACGAATAACACAGGCCGACAAGCCTCCTGTACTTTTCAAACTCAAACTTAAAAAGCCTTACGTCAACACTCGGTTACGTGGCTCTAAAATTTACAAATAATTCCCTGCATAATTTGTCATTTAAATATACAAATATCTTTTTAATTTCACTATATTGAAAACTATGAAATCACAGTACACGAATTATTTCGTTACTAGTCGACTAAAATTCTGATGCTTTTGACTGGTAATTTAACACCCATAACTTAGAAACGAAATGACCGGAACCAGTTGGTTTGAAACCAGTTCCAGCTGATTATGGCTTCCATTAAATTATAATTTCACTAATATAAATGTACTACAACACAGAACAATAATTAATCGGATCAAGATGTAGCCAGATTCGCATATTAGTTACAAAGAAAATGTGTCCTTGGGTTGTACACAAAATGTTTAGCAACGTTGTCCGCTAATTAGGTAAAATAACAAGTCAGTTCGACCTTGAGTTTCATAAAATATCGAGTATGTTCTACTACCCTACAAACTCCTAGAATATTTATGAACGTGTTTGTCTATGTATTATCGTTTATTTGATTGGACTATAAATTGTGATAGATAAACACATCACATATACGAATATAAGAGCTATAAATCATATGATTATCTGTATCACTTTGTTTTTCAATCTTTCATTGTTCCTTTGCCTGAAGTCTATTTTTAACAAGGTGTTGGATGATGATGTTGAAAAATAACCATCAACACAAGTCAGTAGATATACCGATAAACCAGGAGCCAAAAACGTTTGAACAACACAGGCGTGAGATGTTGACCGGATTACAGCATAGACATAAAGGAAGAAAACGACCTAGGCTTGCAAATACTCCACACACTGATACGTGGTCGGATGTGATAGATAATTGGGTTGATTCATCTTGGCGCAGTTGGGATGATGAGATGCACAGACTAAGGCGTGGGATGTTCGCACTTTTGGTAAGTTTCTGAGTAAAAGTATTATAGTTTACCCAAATCTCATAACGACTAAAATTGTTTCTGACGAGTTTAAATGTAGGCTTTAATTCACATGAATTTTTCTTACTAGCTTTATACGATTCAGGTATCAATAAAATAAGAGTGAATATTTGACTTTCAATATTCAGACTTATAATCTAACTTAGGGGTCGGAAGTTATGGGCTAAATTGTCAGATGCTGTGAATGATGCAGTATAATGAAAGTCTGGTTCAACTATGCATTTTTTTATTTTAGCCTCTTGACATTTTTGGTCTGAGATCATCTTATCCAGACCCCTTTGACCTGATGAACCAAATGGAAGATGAGATTGAGGAGATTCGAAATCGCGTAGGCATGAGTAGAGTTCCAGGAGTTGGTGCTCTTAATGACTTCTTGAAGGATGCTTATGAGGTTGGTGAAGATGGGAAGGTGAGTGATGTGTGTTGCATCTTAGGCTACAATGTGCCCATAATTTATTTGTAACTGAAATTGAGGTTTTTATTACATTTCTTCTCTATTTAATAGCTTTACTTCAAGGTACATTTCGACACGAAGGGTTTTACCCCCGACGATATCAAGGTTGACTCTACAGAACATCGTTTGACAGTTCATGCGAAGAAAGTTTCAGAATCTGATTCATCAAAATCTTCTCGTGAGTTTTGTCGGATGATAGAGCTTCCTCAAACAATCGATCATAACCAATTGAAGTGTCGTTTGACAGAAGTAAGTATTGATAATGGTGTACTTATTTATATCCATATTAGTTTCATGTGTTACGATCCTGATAACTTATTGAACGGGACTTTGGATAATAGTGAATAACCTTGAAATCGTTTTTCCTTCTTATTAGTCAGTAAGCTAATAAATCATCTAAATCAAGAACTTGTCGCTAGAAAAGTAATGAAGCCTGTATTATGTGATAATCGAAAACGACTCTTGTACTTTCCAAGATTTCCGAATGGTTTACTCTATCTCAAGATACACTATCTTCGCTTTAGGGCTCACTCATACGAACATCGATTTACACCTGAATCATTTTTAAGGTCGTAAGTACGAGTTAAAAGCAATATCTGGTGGTTTTCACAATGTCAGATGATTTCCCAAAATGACGTTGAGATACCATGACCTGAGAAACATATAAATGAAAATCCTCACCTTTTCATGGATAAGGGTAACAGAACTGTGATCATTCTACATTGCATCAGTAATGACATGATTCGATTTGCTATGAACTAAAGAAAATGTGGACTTTTTGTATTGTTCCGAGTAAACTCCCCATCAGAGGAGTAAGTTGTTCGTATCATTTTCACTTGGTCCGATAGACTTTTTCCATCTGGCCTAAGCGATGTAAGTACTAACTAAAGATGCTCTCTGCAAAGTTCTTCATCAGGTGTATACTTACTGACTTTGGTTTCTGAATGTTACTTCAAAAATAAAAGACTACGTGACATTGGTTGCCTCGTCACTATAGTGATGGTCCACCAAAATATGTTACGTTCTATGTACTAAACAAATCAATATGCTAAGTGACGATATTTACTTTGTTTTCTGTAGGATGGCGTTCTTATGTTAGAGGCTCCTGTGAAAGCCCCCGACTATGAGTCAATCACATTCACGGATAATCGTCGACTTGGGATTCATCCAAAGTCAGCAGATCAGATCCAGTCAGTCCCAGCATCAAAGGCACTTGCTGTGAAAGGTTGGTAAATCGACTGACTAACGTTGGAAAGATTTTTGGTATGGTTGTGAGATTTAAGTCTGTTAGTGGCAGTCGCTCTTTTTATTGGCTGGAAATATGAAATATGATATTGATTTTGGATAGCTATTTAAGTATTTTTCTCTTCATATTTTTTTCAGGTGTATCTGGTCCAACAATTTTAGACGATGAAGTAAATGGAAAGCGTCTGCATTTCGAAGTACCTGTTGATCCAGTGTATAAGCCCGAGGATTTATGCGTAAACGTAGATTCCAAACGTGTTGTCGTGTCAGGAATAAGTTATCAGAAAGACAGTGGTTATTTTAACAAGAAAAGGAGCAGTTCGTATGCCGAGTTCACTCATTCGTACGAAATTCCAGAAACAGTAGATCCGTTATTAGTGACAGCTCAACTAATTGACAATAGATTGGTTTTGGAGGCTCCTTTGTTAAAACGGCATAAAGTCAGTTATTAATATATTTGATATAAATATAACAGCATTGTGCATCGGTTGATAAAATCTTTTATGTGAAGTATTTCGAACGGATTTCTTAATTACACTTGTATGTAACGCTTTTGAGTACACATAAACGTGTAAAATGTATTTGCTAATAAATCTTATATACTCAAAGTGCTTGCATTAGTTTTGAAATTTGTTGTGGGTTTTTTATGCGTAAAAAGAAACTAAATAGCTATAATCATTTTTCGGGCGAACTAAAGCCATTAACATAACCATTGAATTATGATATGGTTGTTTGTTGTTGAGCTTCTTTAGACGACAATATTAATGTCTCGATAGTGATTAATATATATCATATGAGAAAACATAGAGTTAAAATACTCATTAATACGCAGTGATCACTCACTAATATTGCATCAATAATAATTGGTCGTTAAATTTACAGTTAATTATGTTGATGGTGAATCAAATGAAAAATCTTATCACGTTATCCTATCCTGTTATCTATATTTACATATAATCATATTTCCCACGAAGTATATTAAAAATACAAGAAGGATATATTTTTCTAATCAATTATAGTAAAACAGACTGATATTTCTAGGTCAAATGAAAATATAACTTACTAGTTTCTACTAACAAGGGATGAAACATGGAACAGAAAGAATTAGTTCTAATCACCATTTATGATTAATAAATGAAGCTGAAAAAAAAAACAAATTAACAAAATCTGAATAGTTCAGTCAAATATATACAATTTTGTCGTTTGTAATATTTAATATTGGATAAATGAAGTAAAGATTTATTTCACTATATTTATTGATTAACGTTGAAATATCCCAGTAACCAATTAAACGACATACTATATTGTAATAAATATGAATAGTTGTACCAATAAATTTTCTACCTAAGAGAAACCAATTAAAATCAATATAGTCAATTATGTAATATCGATTTTTTCTCAGTCAGTTATCAATTCAATATTACTTATCAAATCGATATAATGATAATAATAATTTTATGAATTTGATATAAAAAAGTATTAAAAAACTAGATATTATTATTACAGGGTTGTGAAGGTTATTGGGTTTTTGCTGAGATCATGAATCGATTAATGTTGGACCCCCATTAAGAACCTGGAAGCGTTGGACGGCCGTTTCGTCCTAGTATAGGATTTCTCGACAGTACGCATCCGTGATCTCGTATACTGGACTCGAACCTAGAATTATCAGTTTCGTGCCAACTCTTAACCTCTAGACCACTGAACCGGCATTCCACGGTATTAATGTCTAACTTAGACCAATCTCCTATTGTCTTCCATGGGTAACTGCCTCAAACCTTACACGGTTGAACTCCACTGGTCACGGCTTCTCATGAGAATGACCTTTTGAAGCTAGCCATCAGTGGCCACATGATAATTATCCGTATAGCGTTGTGGAGATTGTTATGTTTTTACTGAGACTATGAACTAATCATTATTAGGTTACTACTGAAATCCTGGGATCACTGGACGGCCGTTTCGTTCTAGTATTTCTTATACTCCGATGAAAACTCTTAAAACTTATTATGAAAGAATATAGAAGTTTATTCACAGTGAAAATTTGCAAGTAAGGTTAAATCCTCAAAAAAAAGTAACTGACAATATTTTCGAAGATTCAGCTATTGAACAATTTGGTCACTTCTACATAGCTAAATTCATTAATATTTCACTATACCAAAAACAATTAATGTAAAATGATTAATATGAATCAAATTATTACATGAATTCTCTTTGTATGATTAAAGAAAGGTATGACATACTTTATTTCATGCTTACACTAAAACTTTTCTTCAATGAATTCCCTTTTTCTTTATATTCAATATAAGAAAAGATTCATGCGTAATTAAAGAATAAACTAACTGGATTTGATAAACACAATATTCTTCTACATCAATCGAAACTAAGGTTTTTGCAACAATAACCAAGTTTAATGAACTAATAAATTTAAAAAAGGCACTGACTAGTTTACTTATGTTATTCTAGTATAAGAAGATTCATTAAAAAAAGAGTAAACTTATGAAGTCACCACATTTTCAGTCATTCTAATACATATTGATCGATATAGACTTGGACATTAAAGTTTACTATACTGTCGGCCTTCAGAGACTCATGAATGACCTTGAGAGTGCAAAACCCATTTTCGGTTAATCTGAATGCAGTTTATGTGAATGGATAATTTAATACAATAACCCATAAGATATTAGAAATTTTGATAAGCAGTAGGAGTTGAGGTAGAAAATTGACTTGGGAGTATGAGTTATGCTTAGCAATCAGTTAGAATACAGGTGTAATATAGGCCTTTAGAGTAATTATAAAACAATGATTCAGAAAATATTTTTAGTCCAATATGGATGAATAGTGATAAATATATTTCTTTGATTTTAAACAGCCAGAACCTTCAAGTTAGCTGGATAACCAATTTAGTGCAAAATCTCAATACCTGGTATCTTAAGTGTGATTGACTCGTCAGTGTAGTATACTTTTACCAATTAGGATTTTTACAAGTGAGAGATCATTATGTAAAATGGTCATATATGTTGTGCAAAATTTAGCGCATCCAAGTTGGCTTTTATAGATAGTTAGGTGTAGACTGCCTGGCTGGGGTCAGTGAAATAATTATCACTAATGCTTACAGACTTTGCGCCATAATCGCTCACAATAACACAAGTGTATTCATTGACTTTCCTTAGATCCTAAGTCTCGTGATTATCTTACAATATTTTTTATTCAACAAATCTACATTTCCTTGTCGAATTATGCATGCTATGCCTCATACTTTTTACTAGCACTACTGCTGTTATTATTTATACTACTCAAGTACTTTCCTGTGCTGATGTGGTTTGGCCATTTGAACTGATACACACATGTGTCACGTTCTACGTTATGTATGGCTGACTGATTAGATGGTTCGTGATACTTTATAACACAGCAGAGTGTGCCGACAAAAATTACATCGTCCAAACGTCAAGGCTTGTTTAGACAGATACCAGCTCTTTTGTTCAATAATGTTGTAATCACTTCATAATTTGTGTGATATGGGTTTGATTTCTTATAAGTTCATGTTTATATAATGACAAAAAGTACCAACTTAGATGAAATTATTGTTCATTGAGTTCTATTTTCCATAGTTCTCCAGTTAGTAGCAGTTGGTAATGTTAGTACCATGTATAACATACAAAGTGTAAACAAAATCATTTGAGTAAGCTCTAGTTTATTTCAATATTAACATGCTCTTCACTTACAAATTTCGATAAAATTGCAATCTATATCAATGTAATTTCTTGCTATATGATTATAGATAATCATGTTCATTCTTGCATGAATTTTCTAAAACCAACACATGAATGAACTGATCTTAACATCTGTAAATGGTAATGATCTATATTTTTGTGTATTTCATCTAAGATTTTATATCACACAATGAGTTTCACTGAATACTTAGTTATGTATGAATAAAATACAGATTTGTAAATGTAATTTATATATTATAGTAAAGAATAGATTTCTCATCTTATTAAAGGACTCTTTATCAAATATATATCTCTGATGTAATCAGTCATACATTCCTAATACTATCAGTCTGAATTCTGTATAGATAAGCGTGAATAGATAAATATGTTACCAAGCAATTCATATCTGATCATCAACAGATTGTTAGCTGTCCACAGTTACCAGTGGTGTTTTTCAGATTCTTAATTACTGAATTTGCAGTGCCTAAGAATATTTATTCCACCTATAATCGACGTTGTTAACGTGCTAGCAACCAGTCTTATCCACGATAAGTAGAAAACCTAGAATGAAATAAATGTGTATTCATGGTCCACTGAATCGAATGTTTTCATTTGTTAATGAAAACCATTATTACCTTTTCGGTTCTTTTTAGCTCCCACCGACAGTCTGCGATTCCCTCCCACAAATCAGAACATTGTACCTGTATAATAATACAGATGTATGTACTATAGTAGGGGTAATTGCATGATAACTATAAGCGAAGTATTTAATAAGGGACAATCAAAGTCATAATTTTCAATACGAACGTCAATACAGTTTACTGTACAAAGCCAAAACTTGGAGAAATACATCAACCATCACCAAAAGAGTAAAAGTATTTGTAAACAATTATCCAAGTAAGATACTGATTGTCCGTTGGCCGGATACCACCATTAACAGCCTACTATGGGAGAGAACAAACTAGGTTCCAAATGAAGAGGAGATTAGGAAAAGACACTGGGAGTGGATTGGACATGCATTGTGGAAATCAGCAAACTGCAGTAAATGGCAAGCACTAACTTGGGTATCTGAAGGAAACGAAAAGAGGAAGATCAAAGAACACACTGAGTTGGTAATTGGGAGCAGATATGAAAGGGATGAATAGCAACTAGAAGGAAGTGGAAAGGATTGTCCAAGACAAAGTTCGATGGAGAATAGTGGTGAGCTGCCTATGCTCCTTCACTGTGAGTAACAGGCGTAAGTAAAAATGTAAGTAATGTTTTAATACCACTTCACTGTATCGCGTTAAACCATACTTTTTTTGTCTCATAATCTACATACTTTTATTTTGCCTAGTATTTCTTTCACATGCAAACGCTTATCTAACCAATTCATAAGTAACAAAAAACTATGTTTAAAACTGAATGGATATGCTATAATTCCTAATGTTGGTTACCGAAAATGTCACACATACTATTCTGAAAAATGTGATTAGTCTTTTTTCCCTTTATTTTCAAATTCCAACTTTCTTGCAAATCGATGCTTCAGATGTGATAACTGTATTTACGACGAAATAAATTTTGTTGATGATTATAAATGGAAGGAAAACACATGTCCGAGTTTAACTATTGATGAATAAGTAAGACGGAATAAATTCACCAGTTTATGGATAATAATATTAATCAAAAGTGATCAATGTAACACTAAATAGAAGAGGTCTTTTCCAATTTTGAAATGCTACAGTTATACAAATTATTAATTCTTA